GCCCCGTCGCCGAAAATCGCATACGGCGGCGGTGGAACTCCAAATCCACTCAAACTCACCCCATACACTCTCTTCACCTTCCTGAATCTCACACTACCAACCAAATCCCCAAAAATCCCACAAAAATAACAGATCTTAGATCTGAAAACCTAGAAACCTTAGAACCGCCGCCGGAAATCGCCTATGGCGGCGGCAAAATTCTAAACCTACCTAAACTCATACCATACCACCACCACACCACTTAGAATCCTACTTTGCCCATAGGTCCCAAAAATCCCCTTACCAAAACCCTATATCTTAGATCTGGGTCTCCAAACCCTAGATCTACCTTTCCCGTTTTCAAAACTCCACTAGTTCGTATAATAATCCTCCTGCCAATATCTCCCATCAGGGATCTCAGATCCCAGATGGGTGTATTGGCATGAGAATTTTTAACGGCTAGATTCCCCTTTTCCAAAAAACAGCTTTAGGTATAATTTCTTTCTTTTTCCTTTTTCCTTTCTGTTTTTCCTTTATCTTTTTTTATTATTGTGTTCTATTTTTGTAATTTTTATGTTATTTTTAATTATTATTATTTTATGTGTTTTCTATTATTTTTTGTTTAAATTAATTAAATGAAGTCGGTTAGGTTAAAACTAGTAATTAGTTTTAGATGCATGTTTGTTTTGTTTGGTAGTTGCTTAGTGGGCTTCACTAAAGTGTCCCGTTCCACTTGGCTCATAAATTGGGCTTGTCTAATAGACAAGCTCGTAGCTTTGTTAAAATCTTAAGAGCCCAAGGTCCTTCGGCCAAGAGTCACATGACTCAGGCCTAGAACCAGTCTGGTTCTGAGGCAATTCCAAGGCCCTTTAGGGTCAACTTTGGAATTTTAATTTGAAAATTTTTCAGTAAATATGAAGCTTCTAGAACAAGGGCAATTGTCCCAAGCTGAGTAGGAAAGAATAAGGATAAGATCCCAAATATCCAGAAATTGGGCAGTTGTCATTTTCTGATAAGAAGGTACTAGAAATTGGACAGCTGTCCATATTTCTATTTAGGAAAGATGCTTTTTTCCTAATTTTAGGGAATGCTGGCAGATTCCTTTTTGGTATCCTAATCCTTATCCCTTTTCACTCCCTCAATCTATATAAACACTCATTTTTCTTAATTATAGAGACCCTGAGATAGACACAAAAATATATACACACACAAAAAATTCCCTAAAAATACACTGATTATGCACTGCTTTTGAATCTTTTTCCTTCATTTTAGCAAAGAACTCTTACTGGTTTCATATTTTGGCTAGGATTTCTGAGTTTGAATTTGAAGCTGTTTTGGTTTCCTGTTTGGTATTCTTGCTGCTGCTTTTGCTCAGATTTTTCAGAGACTTATTTTTTATCTTTTTGTTCGTTTTCTTGTTGCTATCAAGGTACTTTTCTAAACAATGTAAAGGTTTGATCTCGTTGTTATCCTGACTATGAATTTGCTGTTTATCAAGAGTTGTGTTTTGTTTAAATATAGTGTCTGGTGTATGGTTTAAATTACTGCATGAATCATGTGGTTTATATCTTTCTTGTATAATGAGTTAGTTTGATATATTAATAGCTTTACTATTTTGTTTAAAGCAATTAAACATAGTAATTCCAATTCTTTAGTTTTTGGATCATGAAAAACTAGATTTTTACGAGCAAATTGGATAGTAGGCCATAGTGCATTTTCAGGCCCAAACTAGGGTCCATGGAAGTGTACTCTAAGTTTTTTTTTTTGATAATAAATTAAGTAGATAGTTTGATTAAAAGTATTTATACTTTAAAGTTTCAAATGCACAATGATTTATTTTTTCGCTTTAACATAGTGTTAACATAAGAAACAAAAGGTTTAGGAAATCAGTAGAAAATTATCAAATTGAATCGATTTTTGATTTACTTTACTCACGTTCCAGCCCCCTTAGCATTCTGATTTAAAATGTAAATGAAATACAAGTGAAATGTTATAATTGCTAATACAACCAATAAACCACAAAATGTCAGTCTCAAATTCGTTAAAAATATGCATTGGGCCAAAGTCATTCGGACTCAGTCATCATCAGGCCCAAATCATCTTCTGATTAATTTCATTAGCTGTTAATAAATGTGCATGGGGCCAGAGTCATTTGGACTCGGTCATCACCAGGCCCAAATCATTTTTGATTGAATTCATTTAGCTGCTCTAAAATATGCATTGGGCCAGAGTCATTTAGACTCAGTCAGGCCCATGTTCTCTGCGAATTAAATTCATTAGCTGGTCCATATAATGGACGATACACGTCTTGGACCCGAGTTCATTTGGACCCAGCCTTTATCAGGCCCAAAGCCTTTTAATTGTAGATCCATTGGGCAGCTGATATGTGACCTACCTAATTAATTCAAATAAATATCTCATATAGCATTGGACCTTCACATCTAGTTACACGACATAGGGCACTTAGCTTAGAGACATAATCATAACTTTAGGTATACTTATAATCGAACTAACTATTACAATTATGTACACGCACGCGTGACATAGTTGTGATGCCAAAACAAACCAAGGTACACGTTCGCGTGATCATGGTAAAACATTCTCAGTAAATAAAACGCCTTAATCAAATACTCATAGAAATGCTTTTAAGCGCGATTTTTAAACTACCATCGTGATTGCAATTTTTTTCAAATAAATTCAAAGTACGCGTTCGCGCAACTTTGACTAAACCTTTTTTTCCCCTTAAATAAACCAAGTGTTGTGAATTGTGTATACGTATGCTTGACATGATTCTTGACGCACCAAACTAAAATGAGTATACGTACGCGTAACTCGTCTTAAGTTAATTATTTAAATACGGGTTATCAAGTGATTAGTAGCGGTAAAAGGTAAAATAAATATAGGTCCTAAAATGAGTAATCAGATAAAATAAGCCAAGTATAAATTGCTAAGCGACCGTGCTAAAACCACGAAATTCGGGAGTGCCTAACATCTTCTCCCGGGTTAACAAAATTCCTTGCCCGGTCTTCTGGTTTCGCAGACTTTAAATGGAGTCAAATCTTCCTCGATTTGGGATCTAAAATAAACCGGTGACTTGGGACACCATAAAATTATCCCAAGTGGCGACTCTAAAATAAATAAACAATCCCAATTCGATTAATGTCACTTAAATTGGAAAAACTCCCTTATATCCCCCTCGGAAAAAAGGAGGTGTGACATTATGTCGTAGAGAAATTTTTAAACTCGATTTCAACTACAAATTTTGAATCAAAACTAGTCCAAATCATCTCCAATCTTCCTTAAATTTTGTGCATTGACTCATCTATATGTTTTCAATGAATTTCAACCACACCCATTAAAAAATATTCCTTTTGCTTAGGTTTTTAGAATCTTATATATTTTTTCTTTGTGTTTCATCCTTGCTACCTCATCCATAAAATTTTCTTTCCTTCTTGCATCTAATGTTGTTGAGTACGCTTAAAAATATGAAAAGAGATATTTGCGTGTGATTCTTGGATAGAAAAAAATCCTTGTTATTTAGGTTTTTAATTTTTATATGCGCTAGGCTAGTTTTGGTAAGTATGTGACTAATGGCTAGAGGTTGTTAAGTTTGAACTTATTTTTACCTACCTATACTACATATGAAACTTATTTATCCTCTCTCCCCCTCCCGCCCCCAATCAAGTTTTGACTTAATTACATGGTCATATACAATTTACCAATTATATACAAATTAGTTTTAAATGAGTATCTCTTGATTGCAGCTTTTTAATTATGTAAATCCCAAAAAATCCTCACAATTCCTTACTTACCCAGACAAACCCCAATGTTTCTGAAGGATTTTTCTCTTTCTCTCTTTGAAATCAACTTCCTTTCTATACCGATTATATAACTTTTTTTTCCTTCTAAAGCTCATAAATTTCTCTAACAATGGCAAAGAAAAGGATTAATTTTTATCGATTTTAATTTGTCATGGCTGGAGTTTGGAGCTTTTTTGGGCTTTGCTTTTTTTTTTGTTGGTGTTCCGATGACGGGCTAACAGTAGATGTATATTATTATTTGGTTGGATTGTTCGAATTGAAATTGTCAATCAATAAATTTTGAAGGTGTTTGACTCTCCATCATTGACAACCATTAAAAAGTTTCGAAGCTTTGAATTTGAATTCGGATTTTTAAGAAATTTTGTTTGGAATGGTGTTATTACAAATGATTGGGAATATTCTATAGAGTTTATATCTCGATTTTGAGGGTGTTTGGTGAAGATTAGATATAATTTGGATGGGTTTTCAAATTGAAATTTGAAGAGAAGTAGAAGAACACACCACATACAAAATATATACAAATTATATACAAAAGACATATTGTATAAAATTTGTATGAAAGTTATATGAGGTTATAGTTATATTTAATTGGGTAAGAATAATGCATGAAAGTTGCAGATAAATTATAAATAAGTTGTATATTGTATAATTAGTTGTATGAAATTTGTTTTTAGTATGTATGTTGTTGTAGATATGTCAAATTTTGCATTAAATTTGTATGAAATTTATTTTTAATTTGTATGATGTTGTACGATACATTATTCTTTTCTTAAAATAGGTAACTATGACAAAGAGAGAGAAGAGTTGCGTTAATTATGGGTTAAAATAGGTAACACACAATTGGAAGGAGTCATACTTAGTTGAAAGGACAATTTGAACTTCGTTTCCTTCAGTTACGCCCTTTTCCGAGCAAAGAATCTCCTAATTTAAGACACTAATAATGTATTGTGTATAAATTGTAAGAAAAACTTATTTAGGGCGACTAATATACAAAACTTGGACAATTTTAATAAATAAGTTTCAAATATCGTATAGGAAGAAAACTTATTGTATAAGTTTCAAATGTGGGACATTAGCAGAGAGCCGTCCACAATAAATGGGCCTAGATTCAGTGCAGCAAAATATTTGGGCCTACATGGGCTTTAGAGACCGTAGCCCATGCCTAACATTACGGAATTAGGCAGCAATAAAAGGAATGGAAAAAGGCAACAGAAAAAGAGGTTACAGATAGAAACATAACAGAGAATCGGAAAAATGACGTGGGCCGCCGCAGCTAGTCGCTTCCAAATGCCAACAATGGACGTCGCCGCCCTACGCAGCCGAGCTCCGGTAGCGTTTGGAGTGGGCTGTGTTTCACTTGCTGGTGCAAACTTTCGTCGGTCTATTTCACCAGCTCGGTCAAAGCCTTTCGCTTGCTTAAGTACTTCCACTGATACAAGTGAGTCCACTATTACCCTCTTCCTTAAAATTTAGCACAAAAAAAAATAATTTTACAAACAAATAAAGTTTTTAACTTTGGTTTCTGGAGAAAACAAGGAGAGGCACAAAAAAAATGGAATAAACAGAATGTCTTTTTCTATTTACCTACTTTACTTGTTTTTGTATTAAATATAAAAGAAAATTGGCTTATGGTACCATTCAAATAGAGTGGCATGAATATAGTGGATTCTTATAGCTGATTCTAACTAGTTTGGATTGTGGCATTGAGTTGATTGATGTAGATATCTACTCTTTCAGTTTCAACTTATATGACACATTTTGACTGCATATAGTTTAAGAAAAAAAAGAAAATTATAAAACTTGTGGTCTTTAAATCATAAAAGGTAAAAGCTTTTGTGGGATCATAACATTTGTGTGGCTATAAAAGCTTCTTAGTAAGGGTAAAATAGATAAAATAAAAAGTTTAAAGTTAAATTGTTTCCATGTATATAAATGTGTCATTAATTTCTGAACGATCTAATAAGAAAAGTGTGTCATATAAATTGAAATAAAGGGAGTATCAATTTTGCATATCTATTTAGTACAGGGTATACTAAAGTCGAGATTTTTAGCTGATTGATTAGTCTTGTTGCTTTGGAATGAGGCGGAATGGATTTAAAGGATTCATTATTCAGCCTGAACTTGTTTGAATTTGACACATAGTATCCGTTTACGTAGGATTCAAAGCACTAAAAACAGATTTTTTGTGATTTTTGATGTTTTTTCTCTATGTTCTGGGTTTATTTTGACAGAATATGCAGCGGTTTCCGACTTGTACATGAGCTTAGAGTTTGGTTTATAATCTGGGCGTGGATTATAATCCTGCTTTAAGAAAGCAGTATGTTATGTGTTGTTTCATTCGTCATCACCAATGGCGTGTGAACTTGATGCTGGAATGCAGAAATTGTTATGCTTAGTTGCTTTTCGCTGATGAATGTTATTAGGCAACTTATTAAGCAACAAGTTAATTAGATAATGTTTTTTAAGTTATGTAAGCTGAGTGTGTAAAGAACTTTTATACTATCAATATAGCAGGTTGCTTGCTGTTACTTTTTAGGTTGTCAATGCACAATAATTATAGACAACTTCCCCTAATTAGCTTTTAACTCATCTTATACGGAATAAAACTTATATATAACCCCTTAATTCGTGTCCCACAATTTATGTTGACAAGGAATTATTGTTAACAAGGCATTATATCTATAAATAATTAATTTATAAGGTTTTAGGGAAATTGCTCTCTCACACGATATTTCTCGAAGAGTTCTTTACCTTTTGTTAATGAATATCTGTATTTCGCTAGGTGTAAAGGAGGCTGTTCACACTGATAAGGCTCCGGCAGCACTGGGGCCATACTCTCAAGCCATCAAAGCTAATAACTTTGTTTTCGTCTCTGGGGTTTTGGGTCTTGTTCCTGAGGTTTGTGATATTATTGCATCAGTTATTGCAAATACTTATTCTTATCATAAGCTTGAGACGATACGTGTACTATTTCCATCACATGCCTTTGCTTTATGCGATGTTTAACTAACTTCTGACTGAATGCAGACCGGGAAGTTTGTCTCAGACAATGTGGAGGATCAAACAGAGCAGGTATTTTAGTACTCAGTCATCTTTGCATTTTGTTATGCATCCATATGTCATAATTATATTTAGGGTTATCGATAAAAATTGTTTCAAATTCAAAACACTGACCTTAAGATATCTGAGCTTAATATTGATTTCCAGGTTCTCAAGAATATGGGGGAGATACTTAAAGCAAGTGGCGTTAGCTACTCTGCAGTTGTTAAGACGACGATCCTGTATGATCTTTTGTTATTTCTTCTCCTGACCCCCAAAATTTGTGTCTCATTATAGTCTTGATTATTGATTTCGAATAATTCTATCTCTACAGGTTAGCTGATCTGAAGGACTTCAAGAAAGTGAATGAGATTTATGCTAAATGTGAGTCATGATACCGAGAAAACTAGTTTTGATTTTTGTGTAGTTTTCATGAATGAGATTCTTCCCTCTGTTTTTCACAAGCAAGATCATCTTGAAAACTTGAACACTGAATAAAAGATATTTAACCTGTTTAAATGAGGTCTGTGGTCTAAACAATATTTAAGCAGAAGAATAGAAGTGGATGTATTGTATTTTGTGTTGCTTACTTCTTAGCTGGTTGCAGAAGGCTCGTTCTTTGCCCTGCCTAGTTCTTTTTGGCAATTCTGCTAGGGATATCTAAGAGATTGTGTATAAACTTTTGAACTGATCCAACCTTATTTTCTGCCAAAAACAATTAAAGTTTGTCTTGTTTGCTCTTCAATATGACAATTCTTTGAGACCTGAAAGGAGGTGATTAGCATGAATTTAAACTAGTTTTTATGCCAAGTGGAGGTTCATTTTTATTCTTTGACAATTCATTTTCTGTACTCTAATGACGTAAAAACTTTTTACTCAATTATTCTAACATTGTATTCAGCATTTGAATGCTACTTGTATAAACTTTTTGTTTGCTAGTCCCCTATTAGTAATTAGGCTATGTTAGGAACCTCAAATCGATGTGTTTAAAAAAGGAAAAGTGCCCATATAATGTTCTAAACTCTCAGAGTAAAAACTGCACGTAGTAAGATGAGTGTGGTCACTTCTGTTGTCACTGATGGTTGGAATTGCTGATGTGTGAGACAAACTGTACCAAGCTCAATAGTAGAAGGTACCCAAAGCCGGTTTTGCATGTAAGAGAAAGAAATTCAGTGTTAAAATCTTTGTCCACTTTTTACTAGAACTAGCCACTGTATAAAGAATGTCTACTTTAGCATGCTACTTCATGACTTCATGTACTCAATGCGATGTGAGATGATTGTAAATCTAACTTGGCTATCTTGCAGATTTTCAATCTCCTGCACCAGCCCGTGCAACTTATCAGGTGGCAGCACTGCCAATGGATGCAAGGATTGAAGTCGAGTGCATAGCAGCATTATGATTCCTCCTCCACTGTTGCGCTCAACTTCTTATTTAGACCTCGAATGGAGCAAGTCTTCTGACTTCCTAGCTAAATTTGTTAGATTTAATAAGCGGATAGCTAGCTATTAGTTCAGGAGCTTTTGTTCTTCTTCTTTTAGCTCCAACTTCCCGGAGCTGAGAATAAACGCTATTCAAGAACGTACTGTAACTGAGCGTCCATGAACACTATTATGAAGAAGAAATTTGGTGATATTTTGGCCCTACTATATCCTGTTTAGTCCTTGCAGAGAGCCTGATTATATGTTAAAGACAGTATTGAAGAAGGAAAACAGAAAATAGAAGGTACAAAACCATTAGAGAAAAAGATGTGCAACATTGATAGAGGCTCTTATGATTTGACTCAAAACTGGGGTCATTAACAAGTTCTATATCTCGGTAAATAAACAATCGGGAAAAGTTTATTCACACCGTGTGTTTGTATCAAACTAATTGATGTATGATATGTGTTTTGTGCAGAGAGTTATCTTATTTAATTATGGTTAAGTAAGGTATATTCTGGCAAAGAGCCAACATCGAGGTGCCAAACCTTTCCGTCGATGTGAGCTCTTGGGGAAGATCAACCTGTTATCCCTAGAGTAACTTTATCCATTGAGCGACGGCCCATCCACCTATCACCGATGGATCACTAAGGCCAACTTTCATCCCGGCTCGACGGGTGGATCTTGCAGTCAAGCTCCTTTTTGCTTTGCACACGAGGGCCAATCTCTGTTCGGCCCGAGGAAACCTTTACACTCCTCTGTTACCTTTTGGGAGGCCTACGCCCATAGAAACTGTCTACCTTTTGTGAGCTCTCTGTTGGTCATCATTTATCCAACTTCTAATCGATAATTCCAGACAGATATCTAAGGAGTTTGTCTTCTACTTAATTTGTTGTGCACTAGCTCATTTTATCATTTTTTTTGATATTTGGAACCTACTGATTCCACTAATCTAGAAAAGGCCGTACAATGCACATTTAAGAGGAAAATGCTCCTTACTAAGAATTTTTTTCATTTTCACTGTTCAAACTCGAGACATTTGATTTAGAGTAAAGGAATTTAATCCATCCACCACACCGCTTAATCATTCAGTTAGGCGTCAAAGTTCTTTGGTAGAGAGAAAACGAACTCCAATCTCATTAAAACGGCAAATAATAAGACTTATAGCACGTTTGACCAAGCTGCAAAAACTAACTTATTTTGAGAAGTATTTTTTCTCGAAAGTGATTTTCTCAAAAGTATTTTTGGTGAGAAGCAGTTTGTGTTTGACTAATTAATTTGAAAAATACTTCTGAGTAGCAATTAGTGTTTGACCAAGCTTTTAAAAACTGCTTCTAAGTGTATTTTCTCAAAAGTTTTTTTCGGAGAGAAACTACTTTTTTCTGCTTCCCTAAAACTGCTTCTGCTTCTACTCGAAGCATTTTTTTTTCTTCTAAAAGCTTGGCCAAATAAGTTATTAAATTATGGATTTATAGATGAATGTAAGTCAATATTTGAATTTTAAATTATTTTTTCCATCAGCTCAATCATAGACCTTCTGATAACAGTTTAGTTCAGAGGTGTAAAATGGGCTTAACTTTAACCGTATCTAGATTAGAAGCCATGGGTTCACCTGAACCCATAGTATCGGTTTAGATCCTCTATATCTGCTAGAAAACTTATTAAATATTTATAAATAATAGATTTTGAACCTATTAAATTAGATGAAATATGGTAGAATTTCGAATCTGAACCCATAAAGTGATAAGTTTGGGATCGGTCACATGGATACTCACCTATCATGTTTCTCTACTTAGTGTGCGTTTCGACATAAAAATTATAAAATTTTAGAAAAAAAGTAAAAAAAAAAAAAATTAAGTAAAAATTAGAGTTGTGTTTGGATATTAATATAATTTTGAGATGTTTTTGAATTTTTATGAGTATCTGAAGTAAATTTTTTGAAAAATAGCTTTTTAGAGTTTTTCAACTTTTCAAAGAATTTCAAAATTTATCTTCAAAGTGAAAATCGAAAATTTCAAGACAAAACACTGATTTCAAAAAAAGTAAAAAAAAAAAACAATTTAAAAAAAAAAAGAATCTTTTGTATGGCCAACGGGCCCTTAGTTCTTGTTAGGCCAATAATGTACAAAACAAAAAAAATACAAAACAAAAATAGTATTATTAGTTTTCTACATTTTCTGTTTGCATAAAAATCTCAATTATAGCTAAATGACACTGAAAAACATAAAACTTAAAGTACATATTTTAACCACATACATCCAACTCATTGACTAGTCAGATTATTGCCTAACCTCAAATATTATGCATAAAAAATTAATTCATCCAGAAGCGGAATCAGGATTTAAAAATTAGTGGTTCAGAATTATAATTTTTTTAAATTATTAGATTTTAAGTTAATAATTAGCATATAATTAATGAATTTCATAAATAAAATAGATGGTTTGGACAAAAGTCCCCCATGTTTATCTTTGTACTCAAGGAATATTATTCTATTGGGACGAGAAAAATATTAATTGGCTAAAGAAAAGGAAAGGGAGAAGTGATAAATAAGGGAGATTCCAAATTTGACTACATACAGTTTTTGCCAGTAAACAAAAATTCTTGGATCAAAGATGAAAATATTAGTAGTATTACTCTGTTTGATTGCTACTTTGTTCATCGATGGAACAGTAATTGCAGCCGGTGAATATGTTCGTCCTCCGCCTCGTAAAACCTTTCATCTGCCATGGAATTCTAGGCCTTCCTCACAGCCTCAGCAGGTAACTATTATTTTGAATTTAAAGTTCATTTCTTTTGTTTTTACTCTAATTTTAGCTCTAGTTTTTTTTTTTTAAAAAATGAATCGGGTTAAAGCTGGAAGGTTACTATTCGGGTCGGATACTTGATTCAGTTGTTGCTCTAATTGGGTAGCTTTAACTAACTTATCGGATTACACTTTCTTTGTTATTTGGATTTGGTTCCATCTTAGTGTTTGTGAAAAGAAAGAATGAAACTTCTTATTGTCTGTTGTAAAATTTTGTCTTTCTGAAGAGAAAATGGACGAATTTGTCACTGTATGAAATTGAGCTACTTTGTGCTCTGTTAGGGGGCGTTTGGTACGACGGATAAAGAAAATTAGGATAAAAATTTAGTATCATCTTATCCTTTGTTTGGTTACTAATCCCGGGATTAAAAATAGTATCGATATAACTTATACCTGCTAGAGGGTGAAATAATAATCCCAGGATAAAGTAGTAAAATTGACAATCTGAGGATTAATACAACATACTAAACAGTCAATAAGAAATAATACCATGATAATTAATCTCATCAAAACTAGTTTCACTGTAACTAATCCCAGCATAATTTGTCTTCAAACCAAACGACCCCTTAGACTTCTGATCTAATCTTACCCTGCTTTTATGAAAGGGTCTTGTTTTTGTCCTTGACCCCTAACGGAACTTCAATCTTAAGGTAATTTTAAACCGGAGTCAAAAGTTGAGAGCTAAATTTGGACCTTTTTCCTCAAAGAATTTGGATACTGGGAGTCCACAGACCACCATTTCACATTAGAGATTCATTAATGCGGAGGACAAAATTTGGCAATTTGAACGGTACAAGAGCAAATTTGGACCTTTTCCTTGTTAGAATAATTTGTCTTTTAGCAACTAGTGATTAATGAAGCTGAAGGGATACCAGGGATTAAATCCTAAGCAGAGCAAAAAAAAAATGTGGGTGTTTTTTGCATCTGTCCAAGGCTTGATGGACGGAGTTATTGGTACTTATATTGGTGAGAGGTAGCAAGTTTGTTTGCAAAGCGGGTGCAGATATCACCATTATCCCAAATAAAAGTTGACCTTTAATGATCATTTTTGGTTTTGATTTGTTAAGGCCCTTACGGAATCCTATGTTATGCCTCTATGATCAGTTTGAGTCTGCTTATATAGACCATCTTTCGGCTCCTTAAGTTACTGAATATTGACCTGGAGTCAATATTTCTTTCTTCACAGAAAGGTACATTACCAGTTACTAGTATAGATTTTATGTGTTTCTTTGTACGACAAGCATAATTAAATTAGCCCTGGTATGCCGTAGGTTCATTTGATAAAATCACTAAAGCTTGTAAGCTGCCTAAAACTATATAGTTTTTGTTTCATATATATCTGTCCAGATCTGTTTTTAATGTTATTTTAAGCTGTCAAAAGACTGTTGACGTAACATGTAAGGTGATTATTTTGTATTTGGGTTCACGGTTTGAGCCGTGTGAACTTCATCAATGGAATTGATTTTCTCGTCGCAGGTTCACATCTCCTTAGCTGGGGACAAACACATTCGGGTCACATGGGTCACCACTGATACATCTTGTCCTTCTATTGTTGAATATGGAACATCGCCTGGAAAATACAGTGCTACAGCTCAAGGAGAAAGTACCAAGTATAGTTATCTATTATATAGTTCGGGGAAGATACATCACACTGTCATTGGACCATTGCAAGAAAATACCACGTACTTCTATAGATGTGGAGGAGAAGGTCCTGAGTTCCAGCTGAAAACTCCACCCTCTAAATTTCCAGTTACTTTTTCTGTGGCCGGTGATTTAGGCCAAACTGGATGGACTAAGTCAACTTTGAACCACATTGACCAATGCAAATACGATGTTCATTTGCTCCCTGGTGATCTTTCTTATGCTGATTATTTACAATATAGGTGGGACACATTTGGTCAACTCGTTCAGCCACTTGCTAGTGCTAGGCCATGGATGGTGACAGAAGGGAATCACGAAAAAGAAAGCATAATATTTCTAGAAGATGGGTTTGTCTCTTATAACTCAAGGTGGAAGATGCCATTTGCGGAGAGTGGATCCACTTCAAATCTCTACTATTCGTTTGATGTTGCTGGGGTTCATATCATTATGCTCGGTTCATATACTGCCTATGATGAATACTCTGACCAATATAACTGGCTGAAGGTTAGATGAGCTCTCATTTTTTCCAAAAAATAATGAAAACTCTCTGTTTGAGGAAATTTATGATCAGGTAGAAGTCACCATGAAAGGGATTAATTTGCTTTTGTTTTATAGTTTCACATATGACATTTGAGGAATTTCCGATCTTTTGGAAGTTCCAATATATGAAGGTTAAAAATAATTTTGTTGCTTATACTTCCAGATTTTATAGATATATTTGTCCATTGTTATATTAAGAGATTTTAAAACCGACACGAAAAACAAACCTAGTATCCGTAGTGAG